GACGCGTTACATGTACCATGGGCGGACTTACCTAAGGGAGAGGCCGATCGGCTGCGCGAGTTACTGCGGGAGTATGCCGACGTGTTCAGCGAACACGACTCGGACGTGGGTCGGACCGACCTTGTTAAGCATCAAATTGACACCGGTGCAGCCCGACCCATCAAACTCCCTGCGTACCGAGTGGGCGCACCCGAACGCGCCCAAATCAAAGAGGCAGTTGGGGACATGCTTCGCGATAACATAATTCAGCCCTCGGCGAGCCCCTGGTCAGCCCCGGTGGTACTAGTAACGAAAAAGGATGGGTCAACCCGGTTCTGCGTCGATTACCGTAAACTAAACGCAGTCACGCTCGGCGATGCCTTCCCCATACCTCGCATCGACGACACCTTCGACAGTCTCGCAGGAGCGCGGTATTTTTCCACCCTCGATCTGGCGTCCGGTTACTGGCAGGTGGAGATGACGGAGGAGGATCGGCCAAAAACAGCATTCACCACCCCGATGGGCCTGTTTGAGTTTCGAGTGTTGCCGTTCGGACTCACTAACGCGCCCGCGACGTTCCAGCGGTTGATGGAGTTGGTGATGCGGGGCTTGCAGTGGGAACAGTGCCTGATTTACTTGGACGATGTGATAGTGTTCAGTAGATCTTTGTCTGAGCATTGGTCCAGGCTTCGAGAGGTGTTCCAGCGACTGCGAGCGGCTCATCTCAAGCTCAAGCCACGTAAGTGTTACATCGCACAACGCGAGGTGGGGTACCTCGGGCATCGCGTCAGCGAGGCAGGCGTGCGCACCGATCCGGAGAAGGTACGCGCCGTAGTGGAGTGGCCACGGCCAAGGAATCTGACGGAGATCAGATCATTTTTGGGGCTCGCCACCTATTATCGTCGATTTGTAAAGGGATTCAGCGAGATTGCACGCCCCCTCACCCAACTCACCTCCCCTAAGCACCCCTATCAGTGGACGGGGGCCTGCCAGACGGCCTTCACCACTCTCAAAGACCACCTCACCCACGCCCCCACCCTCGCTTTCCCCGATTTTACCACCGATTTTATTTTGGACACCGACGCCTGCAGCAGCGGGCTGGGCGCGGTGTTGTCACAGGTACAGGATGGGACGGAACGAGTCATCGCGTACGCCAGCCGGACCTTGAGTGGGGCCGAACTGAACTATTGCGTGACCCGCCAAGAGTTGTACGCCGTGATTTTCGCATGCAAACAGTTCCGGCCGTATTTGTACGGCAGGAGATGTCGCGTACGCACTGACCATTATGCTCTGCAGTTTCTGCTTACATTCAAGGAGCCGCGGGGGCAGATGGCCCGGTGGTTGGCGCAGTTGCAGGAGTACAACCTGCAAATCGAGTATCGGGCTGGCCGGACGCATGCAAACGCGGACGCCTTGTCGAGGCGACCCACGGTGTACGCCGAGACGAGGGCGGAGGAGGCCTGCCCGTGTTTCACGGGGGGACGCTGCCGGCAGGCAACGGACCTCCGAGAGGCCGCGGCCACTGACCCCCCCCCAGCGAGAGAGAGGGCAGTGTGCGCCACGGAAACCCTCACAGGTGGCACTGAGGATCCCGTCGACCGCCCGGCAAGCGCGGGACCCGCGGCTCGGGACCCGATTGGACGGATCCAGGAGGACGTCGGCTGCGCCTTCCCGGGCCTAAACGACGAGCAGCTGAGACAGACCCAGCAGCGAGATCCGGATCTGGCGGCAGTGGAGGTGGCACTGCGGGAGGAAAAGAGCGCCCTACCAGGACCCTGGAGCGGTTTGTATGCCCGGTTGTGTGTGCGGAACGGAGTGGTACGGGAGTTAACCGAGGCCGGCCAGCCGGGGTGCATCTGTGTTCCTGCCCAGGTGCGACCCCAGCTGCTACGGCTGGTGCATGACCACCCACTCGGGGGCCACGATGGGGAACGACGCACTCGAGAGACCCTGCGTCGCCAGTATCTCTGGCCCAAATTGGCACAAGATGTGGCCGCCTGGGTGCAGGGCTGCCGGGCCTGTCAGCAGTGTGGGCAAAAGCCGGCGAGGTACCAGGTACCCCTGAGGCCGTTCCGAGTCAGTCGGACGAATCAGTTGGTCGGAATCGACCTGCAGGGGCCCTTTCCACGATCCCACCGGGGCAACCGGTATATTCTCGTAGCGGTGGAATACTTCACCCGCTACCCCGTGGCGGTGGCTATCCCGGATAAAACAGCCCTTGTAGTGGCCCGGGCCTTCGTGGAAAACTACGTACTTAAGTGCGGGATCCCCGAACGAGTCATTACCGACCAGGGTAGTGAATTCGAGGCCGAACTATTTCAGGCGCTGTGCCGAGAGTTCGGGATCCAGAAGGACCGAACCACGGCGTATCACCCCCAGGCGAACGGGATGGTAGAGAGGATGAACCAGACTCTGGCCGGGAAGCTTAAACGCATGGCGGCCGCGAATCAACAGGACTGGGACGAACACCTTCCCTATGCCCTGTTCGCCTACACCACCGCCGTTCACACCTCTACAGGACAGACCCCGTTCCTAATGATGTTTGGTCGCGAGTCTCGCCTGCCCGCAGATCTGCTGTTCGGTGTTCCTCCGCCGCAACGGGAGGAAGGGAGCCACCCCGTGGAGTACTTGCTGGAGACCCTGCGAGGGGCCAGGGGCCGAGCCTGCCCGCACGGAGAGGCCGCGCACCAGCGGCAAGAGCAGGGCGCCCGACCCCGTATGGAGCCCCCCTTCTACACTGCGGGCTCCGAGGTGTGGCTGTACACTCCCCGCGTCGGTGCCGGACAGGTGGGGAAGCTGACCACCTACTGGCGAGGACCCTGGATTGTGAGACGGCAGATCTCACCATGGACGGTGCTGATTCAGGGAGGAGAGAGGGGCCGGGAGATGGTGGTCAACATCCGCCGACTGAAGCCGTGGCGAGCAGCCCCCGAGGGGGGGAGCCCCGCCGTCCAAGTACCCCGAAACCCCGGGGTCCCCCCACCCCCCGTGCCCGGGGGCCTCGCGCAGTACATGGGCCCCACGGAGCCCCGGGCTCCGAGGGGCCCCGGGCGGGGCCGGGGGCGACGAGGACGGCGACCCTTAAACCCCACCGCCTCTGAGTTTGTTCCCCAGCCCGCAGGTGCCAGGGGCCGAGGGGAGCCGTTGGAATGGAGGAGGAGACCACCGCCGGAGCCCCAGGAGACGGAGCCGCCACCCCCGAGGCCAACCACAAGGGCCGGGCGAATCCCGCGGACCCCGCGGCGATACCTCGTGGGGGCAACCCAGGCGAGGTGCTCAAGTCAACCCGGGACGGGGACTGGCACCCCGGGGGGCTATGTGGTGCCACAGCGACGGGGCCGCTCTGCCGAGCCAGGGAGCCGCCCGGCTTCCCCCACCGCACTGCCCCCAATCACCCGCCCCACATAAGCACACACCCGCACGCATCCCCCCCCCCCCCCCATAGAGCTGGAAGGGAAGGTTACCCGATCGACCGGTTTTTATCCGAGAGACCCTTATCGGGATTAATTCTCACGGTTTCCGGCGATCAGGGAATTGGATGACCTCCCCCGTGCTACGTGGTACCGCGGCGCTGCTGCCGGCCTTAATATGGTATGGTCGCGGCGTGGGGCATTCGGCCACCGCGGTTGAGGCGCATTTCCCCCCACACACACCCCCACGAGTCGACGGGGCAAGCAGGGGAGGCACGGGACAGCATGAATAGCGGGGTCACAGGGGCTGTTGCGCATAGTCATGGAGGGTTGGGATAATTGCGCTTGAGCGCGCAAGCCCCATTGTTAGGAAGGGTAAGGGAGTAATTAGGATTTACGCCTTGCACGCAGCACACTGATTAGCATATCAACAGCGCCTGGGGACTGCCGTGCGCGGGCTTGGGGTGCACGAGCCCATTGTTCAGCGCAGCATCCCCTTTGGAGGTAGGGAGGATAAATAGAGGAGCGCAGAGGGGAAATCGCGCTCTTACTCCAGCGCCAGGCGACCAGACGCAGCTCGAGCCAGCGACCCGAACGTCCGTGCGACGCACCGAGGCACGCGGTTAACACAAGGATCAGCGGACCGCCGTGGACACTTAACAGTGAGTAAGAAGGGGAATTAGAATCATAGCCGATAAATAGGGAATAGGTACAGGTTTAGTGGAATAGGCCAGCCTCGTCGACTCACTGATTCAACATCAATTCGCAGGTGGCATATAATAAATCATTAATAGCGAAGCGTGGTCTCGCGTGATCTTGTCGTGCAGTGTGAGCGTGTGGGGGCGCTGTGTGCACAGTGGTTCGCCACGTGAGTGAGCGCTGCGCGGAGCTGAGCGCGCGGGTTGCGTGTGGGGACGCGTGTGGTACTGTGTGTGCGTAAGCTCGCGGCGTGCGTAATCGGCGTACCCCAGGTGCGCGATTGTAACGTGAGCGGCCAGCGCGGCGCAGAGAAGCGCAAGAGTGAGTGCCGTACAGAGCTGTGTGTGTGGGTGTGCGCGTACGTAATTAACCATGCCTGCTACGCGGACCCGCGGTGGAGTGGAACCCTCGGGCGACGGCTCCCACACCATGGGTGAGGAACTTAGCAGCGGTTCGCTTAGCAGCGGGGGGGCGATTGATGATGCTAGCCCGGCCGTTAGCATTATCGAGGGAGGGATTTCGGGGGCTAGCGACCCCCACACATACAGTACGAGGCGGTTGGTGGTTGACATATGCGGGGAAACGGAGCCTCTTGTATTGAAGTGGTTACACAAAGTGCTGCACTTTGGTTACCATGGATGTGGCCTTGTAGGCAAGTAGCCATATAACATTTCGCTTCCCTCTCACCATTCGATAAATTGTCATGATTCGAGGTCGTGATATGAGTGTATCATACCACCTCCGATTAGTGCAGTTGGCTACGTATGGTGCCAAAGAAATTCAACATACATAAATACATGACTTGGGATTATATTTTTACATTGTGGAGAATGTAGCGCCTCGAGCAGCTGCTGGTGTCACATGAACCGATAAGGTACAAACACAAAATACTAAATCTCTGCACACTTGAGATACATGGGTAAGAATCAATTTTAATCGATGCATCTTTACAAGCATATTACTGAGGGTCTGGTTGTCGTGCTTGAAACGTGGATTTGCATGACCAGATGCGATTTATGATATATCCAGTATCTTTGCAATGCATTAACCAAGACATTCCGTGAAATATTACGTCACCACATTCAACATTTACCAATTAAAGTACGTGAAGGCCTCTCACTGATCAAACTGACAAAACTTAGTGCAATCTTTAATTTCTAGTGTTCAGACATTCTAACAGTTGAGCAACTGGCAGGTGTTGCTGTGGAATGGATGGTGTTGGCACCAGGCGTGATCTTGTAGTGAACATTCTGGTGGTGCTCAGTCCTCGGAGAACAGCATGGACACAAGTTCAGGCTTGAGGCACTCTTCCTCCACCAGCTTCTGCGGCTGAGGATCACAGCAGTGGGGGTGAGTTACGGTTCGACATGGGGACCAGGGATGCCACCTCAAGGCATAGAACCACGTCACCCTGAATGTGCACAATCTAATTCGATCTCCGAAGCTAAAGATGGGTCGAGTCAGAACCTTGATTGGGAGTCTGCCTGAGAATGCCAGGTTTTATCGGCTTGGGCTGTGAGGTGGTCAGGAGATGGCAGCATAGCAGTGAATTCTCGAATTCATCTGCGTGGAGATGTATTACCCCCTCATAAGTTTGGGTTTTCCGGTTTCTTCCCACATGAAGCAACTCGTTTATGGAAGTGACTAAACATCCCAATTCAGCACCATTCTCAAAACAAACATTTCCAGGGCAATTAAGGGACACTTTCTATTACATGTGAGCTTAAGGTTTAATTTTCGCTGCATCTCTCTGGATCGGTGAATCAGAAAATATTTCCACATCTGGCAAACCACATCTAGCATACCTCACGCTATGCTTGTGGTTACTAGCGACATGTCTACTCTAAATTTCGATTTAAAGCTTTCGTGACTGCAGGGATTCATCTTCTTGGTTCTTTTGGTAAAGTCACGTAGAAGGGAAATAATAAAATAATAACAATAAACATAATAAAATAATTCTCACGACGTTTCGGCCACAACGCAAACAGCCGTCCTCAGGTGAAGAACAGGTCTGTTGGAAAGACAGCGTATGAATGGGCACCACCAGGCTTGGCAGCGTATATTTACACTAACCTCTGCTGCTGTAACTTCTTCTAATGCTAACTAATCCCATATCTGCATTTACCATAAATATGCAAAATTCCTCTTGATATGCAAATTCCTTTGTCAAGGCACCCCTTCCCCCTCCAACCCAGCTTAAATATACGCTGCCAAGCCTGTTGGTGCCCATTCAGACGCTGTCTTTCCGACAGACCTGTTCTTCACCTGAGGACGGCTGCTTGCGTTGTGGCCGAAACGTCGTGAGAATTATTTTATTATGTTTTATTGTTATTATTTTATTATTTCCCTTCTACGTGACTTTACCGAAAGAACCAAGAAGATGTCTACTCTAGTTTCCCAGCGACCAGGAAAATATTGAGTGAGAAATTAGGCCCCATATGGGCCACAATGTTGTGCTAGCTGTGTATGCATTCTCGTGGCTGGTTTAAGCTAGATATGTGTTTGGTGGAATTGTATCCCGCTATCTTTGTGTACAGATGACCCATCAATGCGGCCAGCAAAGCCAATAGGCTACACGCAGTAAAGTACTAGCTTGGGACCCCGGATGAGCCCCTGAGCGGTGCAGAAGTTCCTCACCGAGCCGTACTTGAGCAGTGTGGGCACAGCCGTCAACTGCAGCTGCTTCCGGAACTCGTTGTCTTTATTCTTCCAGCTGTGGGAGCAAACACGGCACGGGCTGTGAGATTCACTGCCGATCAGCGCTGCAATTAACAGGCAGTGGGCAGTGTTGGTGCTCATGGAGATGCCCTGAGCTGTTTGGGCTGCAGTGAGAGAAAAAAAACAGTGCTGCTCTGAATAATAATTAGCATCAGGTTTCGAGTCCAAGGGCAAGATAATGGTTGAAAATTATCAGAGCATAACTATGCATGGCAAGATATGACAGAGGGCGTTAAGAATGGGTTGCACCTATCTGTAAATCAACTGCTGGACGAGAACCTCTCCACACCGGACGAGTTTGAGGCGTTATTTAAACATTCTTCTTAACATAGCCGGTCAATATTAGTTCAAGGTGGGGAGCATAAATTGAGCAAATAAGCACCGTAAAATGGATTGTGCTGTGCTGTCCTCTGCTGCCCACCGCCTAGCCAACACGGCTCGTGCTACGGCTACCAACTTCCCGCAGCAGCATTTCTAAAATAATGCTGCAAGAGTGCAGCGTGCCCAATGGGTGTGCGCCATGTGAAACAAGTGGCAAGAGAGCCCTTACTATGTACGGTCGCCCACTTCGCAGTAGATGAAGACGGCTCCTTCTGGGAGAGTGTTCAGTGCGCCACGCACCACGGGCTCGGCTGCTCGCACCGCATGGAAAACACAGCCACATCTCAACCAGAGTGTACCTCATCCAGGAGACCACACCTCAACCAGAGTGTACCTCATCCAGGAGACCACACCTCAACCAGAGTGTACCTCATCCAGGAGACCACACCTCAACCAGAGTGTACCTCATCCAGGAGACCACACCTCAAAGGACCATACTTCATCCAGGCAACCACCACACCTCAATCAGGAGACCACACCTCAACCAGGAGTCCACACCTCAACCAGGAGACCACACCTCAATCAGGAGACCACACCTCAATCAGGAGACCACACCTCAACCAGGAGACCACACCTCAACCAGGAGTCCACACCTCAACCAGGAGACCACACCTCAATCAGGAGACCACACCTCAACCAGGAGACCACACCTCAACCAGGGGACCACACCTCATTCAGTGGACAACCACACCTCAACCAGGAGACCACACCTCATTCAGGGGACAACCACACCTCCACCAGGGCACCACACCTCCACCAGGAGACCACACCTCATTCAGGGGACAACCACACCTCAACCAGGAGACCACACCTCATTCAGGGGACAACCACACCTCCACCAGGGCACCACACCTCCACCAGGAGACCACACCTCATTCAGTGGACAACCACACCTCAACCAGGAGACCACACCTCATTCAGGGGACAACCACACCTCCACCAGAGCACCACACCTCCACCAGGAGAGCACACCTCATTCAGGGGACAACCACAGCTCAACCAGGGAACCACACCTCATTCAGGGGACAACCACACCTCCACCAGGGAACCACACCTCAACCAGGAGACCACACCTCATTCAGGGGACAACCACACCTCCACCAGGGAACCACACCTCAACCAGGAGGCCACACCTCATTCAGGAGACAACCACACCTCAACCAGGAGGCCACACCTCACTCAGGAGACAACCACACCTCAACCAGGAGGCCACACCTCATTCAGGAGACAACCACACCTCAACCAGGAGACCACACCTCATTCAGGAGACAACCACACCTCAACCAGGAGGCCACATCTCATTCAGGAGACAACCACACCTCAACCAGGAGACCACACCTCATTCAGGCGACAACCACACCTCAACCAGGAGGCCACACCTCATTCAGGAGACAACCACACCTCAACCAGGAGGCCACACCTCATTCAGGAGACAACCACACCTCAACCAGGAGACCACACCTCATTCAGGAGACAACCACACCTCAACCAGGAGGCCACAGCTCATTCAGGAGACAACCACACCTCAACCAGGAGACCACACCTCATTCAGGAGACAACCACACCTCAACCAGGAGGCCACACCTCATTCAGGAGACAACCACACCTCAACCAGGAGGCCACACCTCATTCAGGAGACAACCACACCTCAACCAGGAGGCCACAGCTCATTCAGAGGACAACCACACCTCAACCAGGAGTCCACACCTCATTCAGAGGACAACCACAGCTCAACCAGGGGACCACAACTCCACGACAAAACCGCCCTTCCAGCTCGGAGTCGCTCGCCCCTCCTCACCCGCCACGCAGTCCGGGCACCAACTCTGGCCGCTGCCCGCGTCTTTGCTGCCCGAGAAGAGCACGAAGATGTCGCGGCCCTGCAGCCGCCGCACGGCGCTCGCGAACTCGGCGTGGCCGCTCACGCGAACCTCTTCGCAGGTCGCCATCCTCGCGGCCGCCTCGGCGTCTGCGGGGATGGGACGTGACGACGATGGGGGACGCGGGGATGATGGGGGACGCGGGGATGATGGGGGACGCGGGGATGATGGGGGACGCGGGGATGATGGGGGACGTGACGACGATGGGGGACGCGGGTGCGGCACGAGCGATGGTTCAAGTTCAAGTTTCATGTATTATGAGGTGTGGCACTGTGAGCCATTCGGCTCTTGAATCGGGTGCAACCGCAACAAACAAACAAACTCAAACATGAACAAGAAAACATCTTAAAGTGAATAGGTGACTTTGTGCAAACAGAAAATCCAATAAAAGACAGCACAATATTGCAGAAAAAGCACCGCACACCAACGCCGCGTGGTGATGATTGATGAAAGCGGTCGAGTTCACGGTGAACTACGAACCAACACCGCTGACGATGAACTTAACCGGTCCACGGGCCTCCTCTAGGTTGACTCGGCCTCAAATGAAACGTCGCCACTGGGGAGACAAAGGCGGCCGGGCGTGGTGGTTGTGGTGGTTGTCCACCCCCGGGGCCTGAGCAACTCACTCGGCAGGAGCAGCAGCAGCAGGCGGCAGACGCGACCCTTGACCCCTCCCCTTGTCACGTGAGCCCAGAGCTCGTCACGTGGTTGGGCCACTTCCGGTAAGGGAGCAGTGGGGGGGGGGGGAGGACCCAGAATGCAGCGCGCGGGGTTCAAACGCTTCTGCGCGGGGAGAGGAGGAAGGCGGCGAGGTGATGGTGGTGGTGAGTTGGTGACTTTGTTGAAGAGATGTGGGGGTGGTGGGGTGAATGATGAGGGGAGGGAGTGAAGAGAAGCGAACAGAGGTGGTGGAGGAGGTAGAGAAGAGGTGAGAGCAGGAGGAAGGTGGCGGTACCCCCCCTCCCCCCACCACCATCTCCTCCTCGGGGCCCCGCGGGCCGCGACCCCACGCGGCGTCTCCCTGGGAGACCGGGGAGGGCCCCGGGTGTTTGTGGAGTGTGTGGTGTTTGTGGTGTGTGTGGTGTCTGTGGTGTTTGTGGTGTGTGTGGTGTTTGTGGTGTGTGTGGTGTGTGTGGTGTTTGTGGTGTGTGTGGTGTTTGTGGTGTTTGTGGTGTTTGTGGTGTGTGTGGTGTTTGTGGTGTGTGTGGTGTTTGTGGTGTGTGTGGTGTTTGTGGTGTGTGTGGTGTGTGTGGTGTCTGTGGTGTTTGTGGTGTGTGTGGGGTGTGTGGTGTGTGTGGTGTTTGTGGTGTGTGTGGTGTTTGTGGTGTTTGTGGTGTGTGTGGTGTTGTGGTGTTTGTGGTGTTTGTGTGTGTGTGGTGTTTGTGGTGTGTGTGGTGTGTGTGGTGTTTGTGGTGTGTGTGGTGTTTGTGGGTGTGTGTGGTGTTTGTGGTGTTTGTGGTGTGTGGGTGTTTATGGTGTGTGTGGTGTGTGTGGTGTCTGTGGTGTCTGTGGTGTCTGTGGTGTGTGTGGTGTGTGTGGTGTTTGTGGAGTGTGGTGTTTGTGGTGTTTGTGGTGTGTGTGGTGTTTGTGGTGTTTGTGGTGTCTGTGGTGTGTGTGGTGTTTGTGGTGTTTGTGGTGTGTGTGGGGTGTGTGGTGTGTGTGTGTGTGTGGTGTTTGTGGTGTGTGTGGTGTTTGTGGTGTTTGTGGTGTCTGTGGTGTTTGTGGTGTTTGTGGTGTTTGTGGTGTCTGTGGTGTTTGTGGTGTTTGTGGTGTCTGTGGTGTCTGTGGTGTTGTGGTGTGTGTGGTGTTTGTGGTGTGTGTGGTGTGTGTGGTGTTTGTGGTGTCTGTGGTGTTTGTGGTGTTTGTGGTGTTTGTGGTGTTTGTGGTGTTTGTGGTGTCTGTGGTGTTTGTGGTGTTTGTGGTGTTTGTGGTGTTTGTGGTGTTTGTGGTGTTTGTGGTGTTTGTGGTGTCTGTGGTGTTGTGGTGTCTGTGGTGTTTGTGGTGTTTGTGGTGTGTGTGTGTGTGTTGTGGTGTTTGTGGTGTGTGTGGTGGTTTGTGGTGTGTGTGGTGTTGTGGTGTGTGTGGTGTTTGTGGTGTGTGTTGGTGTGTGTGGTGTTTGTGGTGTGTGTGGTGTCTGTGGTGTTGTGGTGTGTGTGGTGTGTGTGGTGTTTGTGGTGTTTGTGGTGTGTGTGGTGTTTGTGGTGTGTGTGGTGTGTGTGGTGTCTGTGGTGTCTGTGGTGTCTGTGGTGTGTGTGGTGTGTGTGGTGTTGTGGAGTGTGTGGTGTTTGTGGTGTGTGTGGTGTTTGTGGTGTTGTGGTGTCTGTGGTGTCTGTGGTGTTTGTGGTGTTTGTGGTGTGTGTGGTGTGTGTGGTGTGTGTGGTGTGTGTGTGTTTGTGGTGTGTGTGGTGTTTGTGGTGTGTGTGGTGTTTGTGGTGTGTGTGGTGTGTGTGTGTTTGTGGTGTTTGTGGTGTTTGTGGTGTTTGTGGTGTTCGTGGTGTTTGTGGTGTTTGTGGTGTTCGTGGTGTGTGTGGTGTTTGTGGTGTTTGTGGTGTGTGTGGTGTTTGTGTGTGTGTTGTGGTGTTGTGTTTGTGTGTGGTGTTTGTGGTGGTGTGGGGTGTGGTGTTTGTGGTGTGTGTGGTGTCTGTGGTGTTTGTGGTGTGTGTGGTGTGTGTGGTGTTTGTGGTGTTTGTGGTGTCTGTGGTGTGTGTGGTGTGTGTGGTGTGTGTGGTGTTTGTGGTGTTTGTGGTGTGTGGTGTTTGTGCGGTGTTTGTGCGGTGTTTGTGCGGTGTGTGGTGTTTGTGTTGTTTGTGGTGTGTGTGGGGTGTGTGGTGTGTGTGGTGTGTTGTGTGGTGTTTGTGGTGTGTGTGGTGTTTTGTGGTGTGTGGTGTTGTGGGTGGTGTTTGTGGTGTTTGTGGTGTTTGTGGTGTCTGTGGTGTTTGTGGTGTTTGTGGTGTTTGTGGTGTCTGTGGTGTTTGTGGTGTCTGTGGTGTTTGTGGTGTTTGTGGTGTTTGTGGTGTTTGTGGTGTGTGTGGTGTTTGTGGTGTTTGTGGTGTTTGTGGTGTTTGTGGTGTGTGTGGTAGTCTGTGGGTTTTTTGTGGTGTTTGTGGTGTTTGTGGTGTTTGTGGTGTCTGTGGTGTTTGTGGTGTTGTGGTGTTATGTGGTGTGTGTGGTGTGTGTGGTGTGTGGTGGTGTTTGTGGTGTGTGTGGTGTTTGTGGTGTGTGTGGTGTTTGTGGTGTGTGTGGTGTTTGTGGTGTGTGTGGTGTGTGTGGTGTTTGTGGTGTGTGTGGTGTCTGTGGTGTTTGTGGTGTGTGTGGTGTGTGTGGTGTTTGTGGTGTTTGTGTGTGTGTGGTGTTTGTGGTGTGTGTGGTGTGTTGTGGTGTCTGTGGTGTCTGTGGTGTCTGTGGAGTGTGTGGTGTTTGTGGTGTTTGTGGTGTGTGTGGTGTTGTGGTGTCTGTGGTGTCTGTGGTGTTTGTGTGTTGTGGTGTGTGTGGTGTGTGTGGTGTGTGTGGTGTGTGTGGTGTGTGTGGTGTTTGTGGTGTGTGTGGTGTTTGTGGTGTGTGTGGTGTTTGTGGTGTGTGTGGTGTGTGTGTGTGTGTGGTGTTTGTGGTGTTTGTGGTGTTTGTGGTGTGTGTGGTGTTTGTGGTGTTTGTGGTGTTTTGTGTGTGTGTGTTTGTGGTGTTTGTGGTGTGGTGTGGTGTTTGTGGTGTGTGTGGTGTGTGTGGTGTTTGTGGTGTGGGTGGTGTTTGTGGTGTGTGTGGTGTTGTGGTGTGTGTGGGTGTCTGTGTGTTTGTGGTGTGTGTGTGGGTGTTTGTGGTGTTTGTGGTGTTTGTGGTGTCTGTGGGTGTGTGTGGTGTGTGTGGTGGTGTGTGGTGTGTGTGGTGTGTAGTGGTGTTTGTGGTGTTGTGGTGTGTTGTGTGTGTGGTGTTTGTGCGGTGTTGTGCTGGTGTGTGGTGTTTGTGGTGTGTTGTGTTTGTTAGTGTGGTGGTGTGGTGGTGTTTGTGGTGTGTGTGGTGTGTGTGGTTGTGGGTGGTGGTGTTTGTGGTGTGTGTGGTGTTTGTGGTGTGTGTGGTGTTGTGGTGTGTGTTGGTGTGTGGTGTTTGTGGTGGTGTGTGGTGTTGTGGTGTGTGTGGTGTGTGTGGTGTTTGTGGTGTTTGTGGTGTGTGTGGTGTGTGTGGTGTTTGTGGTGTTTGTGGTGTTTGTGGTGTGTGTGGTGTTTGTGGCTGTGTGGTGTTTGTGGTGTGTGTGGTGTTTGTGCGTGTGTGTGGTGTTTGTGGTGTGTGTGGTGTTTGTGGTGTGTGTGGTGTTTGGGTGTGTGTGGTGTTTGTGGTGGTGTGTGTTTGTGGTGTGGTGTGGTGTTGTGGTGTTTGTGGTGTGTGTGGTGTTTGTGGGTGTGTGTTGTGGTGTGTGTGGTGTGTGGTGTGTGTGGTGTTTGTGGTGTTTTGTAGTGTGTGTGGTGTGTGTGGTGTTTGTGGTGTTTGTGGTGTGTGTGGTGTGTGTGGTGTTTGTGGTGTTTGTGGTGTGTGTGGTGTTTGTGGTGTGTGTGGTGTTTGTGGTGTTTGTAGTGTGTGTGGTGTGTGTGTGTTTGTGGTGTTTGTGGTGTGTGTGTTTGTGGTGTTTGTGGTGTTGTGTGTGTGTGGTTTGTAGTGTGTGTGGTGTGTGTGGTGTGTGTGGTGTTTGTGGTGTTTGTGGTGTGTGTGGTGTGTGTGGTGTTTGTGGTGTTTGTGGTGTTTGTGGTGTGTGTGGTGTTGTGGTGTCTGTGGTGTTTGTGGTGTTTGTGGTGTCTGTGGTGTTTGTGGTGTTTGTGGTGTTTGTGGTGTCTGTGGTGTTTGTGGTGTCTGTGGTGTCTGTGGTGTTTGTGGTGTTTGTGGTGTTGTGGTGTTTGTGGTGTGTGTGGGTGTTTGTGGTGTGTGTGGTGTTTGTGGTGTGTGTGGTGTTTGTGGTGTGTGTGGTGTTTGTGGTGTGTGTGGTGTGTGTGGTGTGTGTGGTGTGTGTGGTGTGTGTGGTGTTTGTGGTGTGTGTGGTGTTCGTGGTGTGTGTGGTGTTTGTGGTGTGTGTGGTGTTTGTGGTGTGTGTGGTGTTTGTGGTGTGTGTGGTGTTCGTGGTGTGTGTGGTGTTCGTGGTGTGTGTGGCGTGTGTGGTGTCTGTGGCGTTTGTGGCGTCTGTGGTGTTTGTGGTGTCTGTGGTGTTTGTGGTGTTTGTGGTGTGTGTGGTGTTCGTGGTGTCTGTGGTGTCTGTGGTGTTTGTGGTGTTTGTGGTGTCTGTGGTGTCTGTGGTGTGTGTGGTGTTTGTGGTGTCTTGTGGTGTGTGTGGTGTTTGTGGTGTTTGTGGTGTTTGTGGTGTCTGTGGTGTCTGTGGTGTGTGTGTGGTGTCTGTGGTGTCTTGGTGTCTGTGGTGTTTGTGGTGTTGTTGTGTCTGTGGTGTCTGTGGTGTTCTGTGGTGTTTGTGGTGTGTGTGGGTGTTTGTGGTGTCTGTGGTGTTCGTGGTGTGTGTGGTGTTTGTGGTGTCTGTGGTGTTTGTGGTGTCTGTGGTGTTTGTGGTGTCTGTGGTGGTGTGGGTGTTTGTGGTGTTGTGGTGTTTGTGGTGTGTGTGGTGTTTGTGGTGTCTGTGGTGTTTGTGGTG